GCCCTTTGTCACCAAGAAGGCGTGTCGACTTCCTTTGCGCTCCAGAAGGGCATTTGTAGCAACCGTGGTGCCCATGCGGATTGCGCGGATGGGCTTCTTGGGAAGAGGCTCTGACTTGGGGATTTCTCGTCCAAGATAGTGGCAGAGCACTCTTCGAACACCTGAGAGCGGGTTAGTGGGACCGGCAAGGCACAGCTGAGCGGCGCTAACTGACCTTCTGTGGGAGCATCCTTGTAGTGATCAGGGTCTACAGAGAGAAGCTTGAAAACAAAGTCAGGCTTGCCCTCGACAGACGCCCAGACGTCGGTAAAGGTGCCGCCTCGGTCGATAGCGACCAAGATAGAGTCCTCAGTTGACACTGTGGTTGTGCTGGCGTGAGGCATGATGAAGGTTGACTGGCTATCTGCCTAAACGAACGAGATAGATGAGAGGCAGGGATAAGGATGAGATGATGAAGATTGAGATGATAGTCCATTGACTGGGGACAAACATGGTTTTAAACACAGATAACGAAAGAAAATCTCATCGGAATATGCATAGATAGATACCTATCCAGTCTGCATCACAGTTCGAAACGACCTTCTCACTTTCATCAACTCCCACAAAGTCCACCCACCCTAGACCCATGACTCGTGAGGGGGGGATGCTGCCCCACTATTTCCCCGCGATGCCATCACTCCGAATCTCCGGCTCATATCAAGGCCGGGGCCAAGGGTTGGATAACGCCTCGTGAATGGCTCGAGCTTGATAAGCAAAAGGCGGGTCAGGTCGTTTCGACCTTCTCTCTTCTATCTCTTGTGCCCCCCGTTATCCGACACATGACCGAGCTACCACTTAACGTCTCACTCCACCTTTGAACCCCCCAGATCTGCGCAATCTCGGCCGCAAAACATCATCACTCGAGCCTCTACCACCCTAGCTATTTCTCGCTCGCCTCTTGTAATGCCCCGCCGGAGACAGAACGAACCCACGGAGAAGCGTGGGAGGAATGCTTGCTGGAAGTGCAAGGGTAGGCAATCACCCCCCGGCCCCCCATTTGACCTAAGCTGACCCAGCGTGCCCCAGAGCGACGCATCAAGTGCACCCTCGAGAGACCCGTCTGCAGCAACTGTGCTCGGTGGAAGCACACGTGCCAGTATGGAGTCAAGCTGCTGTGGAGAGAAGAGGCCCTTGCTAGGGGCATCTGCTTTGGACGACAAGGTACCTCCCTTTCCCTCCCTCAGACGTGGAACCCGCTCGGTGCTCACTGTGGTCCCGCAGGTGTCTATGGCCAGTCATCTAAGGTTCCACTTTCCAGTCAACCTCTTGAATCGAGGAGCTTTATCGGAGACGTTTACTTTCTGCACACAACCACGACTGACTTTGAGGAACCTGGGCGTCGGCCTCGAGCGAGTGCCGATGTCGGCAGGGCCGAAGGATCGCAGCACCTGGACCCTCTGAGTGCAGACCAGGTCGAGGGCGAAGATGAAGTTGCAAGAGTCAGAGAAGATGAGACTGTCTATGTCGAATTCAACAGCAATCATCACCCAGGGTTCGGCAACCAGCTATCTTTGTTCCCATCTGCCGAGACCTCTGCCGACCTGCGCCTCTTCGACTTCTTCGTCAGCTACATGTGTCCCGGCCTCAGCAATTCGACGAAAGAGAACCCATACTGGGAGTTTGTGGTGCCCCTGTCCTTCACCTCGGAGCCTCTGTTCCACGCCCTCCTCAGCTGGGCCGCCACCGAGGCCGCCTTTACCAACCCTGCCGCCAAAGATGTCTACGGCGTGGCCTCGGTCAAGAACAAAGGCCGGGCCCTGAAAGGCCTGAGGATGGAGATCGAGGCCGCACAGGGTGATTGGTCGGCTGCGTCGGGCCATTCAGCCTCGATCCTCACCACGATTATCATTCTCTCATGCAACGACATTGCGATCTTATGTTCGACCGTCTGGATGACGCATCTGAGAGCTGCTCGAGTCCTGTGCAGCATGGTCTGGCCACGCCAACCTAGTGTGTGCGAGCCAGACAAGTTCCGCCAGTTCTGCATCATGTGGTTCGTTTCCCACGACATCATGAGCCGCACGGCTTGGATTCAGGAAACCCTCTTCGACCCGGGCGAGTGGTTTGCCAGCGACGACGAAGCCGAGATTGATCCGATGATTGCCTGCTCTCGGGGCCTAATACAGCAAGTCTCGGCCATTGGGACCTTGATAATGGATCTACGGCACTCTGGGAAGAGGAAGAAAAGACGGCGTGTAGCAGACAACGGTCAAGACGATACGACAGACCCCTCAATCAAGTCACGGCGCGATTCCATTGAAGATGGTCTCAAGGACCTATGTCAGCGGATCTCAACAGGAAGTGATGCTGGCGAGTCCAACGACGTGCTGCTTCGAGTAGCTGAGGGCAAGAGACTATGCTCCCTCATCTACCTGTACGCGTGCATCGACAACGCCACGCCCATGTCCCCCGCCATTCAAGCACTGACGCGACGGGTAATGGATCTCCTGGCTGATCTTCCACCAAAACCGTCCCTGACCTTTATCCTCTTCGTCGTGGGTACCCTGGGGGTGTCTAACGAGGATGATCGGCGACTTGTGTTGGACAAGTTTGACAGCCTGATCAAGGCGAGGTGGCTTGCGTTTGTTGTGAGGGCAAGGGATGTGGTTATGGACGTGTGGCTTGATAGGGATATGGGCAAGGCTGGGAGCTGGGAAGATCTGGTCGAGACGAAGAGCAAACTACTGAGCCTGGCATAGGATGGAAGAGGAATTGATGCCACCTTTAATCATTGCGGCTATGTCAATCTACCGACTTTTCCCATACATGTGCCTTTTTACTTCCATGGACCGCATTACAGCTTCGACTTGAGCTGATGGCCTCCAAGTTGCTCCGTCTGGCACTCCCCTTCACCAACCCAAGCCGGGACATCCTTTACATCCTGCAAATCACCAAACCTCCAGCTGATGTCGTCGGCCTTTCCCTCAGGACTCCCCTTCCACTTCCACCTCCCTAGCTTCTGCTCTCCCTGCTCCAAGACCTCTCGCGCCCAGCGCCCAGCAATAGGCAGCATCTTGAACGCATGGCCACTATCACCAGAAAACACCATCAGCGACCTGTCCTCGGTATCCGGGACATAGTCAATGATAAAGTTGGAGTCTGTCGTGTCGCCGCACCAGCAAATGAACTTTCGTGTCAGAGGCAATGAGGAGAACTGAGGTATCGTCGCAGCGATCAGCGCAGCAATCTTGTCCTCGTCCTCCTTGGGGATCTGCCCACCCGGGATGTAGGTGGCCGTGCTTTCATCTCGACCGCTGGTGGCTGGGAGACTTGCACGGCCGTGGTCCGAGACTTCGAAGTTGGTGAGCCCTGCTCTGTGGGCGCAAAGCTTCAGCAGCCCTGTCTCGGCATCCGGCTCGAAGAAGAAGCCGAGGTCGCGACAGTTGACGACGGGGATACCCGCTAAAGCCCTCACCTGCTCGGGCGTGAGCTGAATATGAGCGACGGCCCATGCCTTGGCGGTGATCTGGGGCGTGATGGAGGGTATGAGACGGCCGACGTGAGCGCCTAAGGACACGATTGTGTGGGTGGCGAGGTGCTCACGGCCAGACTTTGTCTTGACGCCTTTGCACCGCTTCCCATGAAAGAGCAAAGACACTGTGTGCCCATCCTCCTCTCCGAGGACGAAGCTCACGCCGCGTTCCTTGCAGGTCTCATAGATCTTTGCCATGGCCTTTCCGGCGCGGGCGTATCCCCCGTACTTATTGAAGTAGCCATGCCATCCCTTCATGGGTCCTATCAATTGGGGTACGATAGATCGCACATCGTGCCCCGACTTGATCTGTTTCAGCGTGCCGGAAGGGTATTCCGGGCGGCCTTTCAGCGTGAGAACAGCCTTGTTGACTGAATTTTCTGACTTGCTTGGCCCGGTGGGTGAATTAACGACAACAAGGCCTCGCTCGGCGTAGAACGGCGCAAAGAATGGTGTTTTCCAGGCTGCAATAGCCTCTAGGGCAAGACTGGTGTAGAAGTTGTCTTCGTACTCGGCGCGGATAGTCTTGTTGAGATCACACCCGGCCGAGTACGGTGAGGGTATATCGCTGCCCCTGTCGAGGACGGTGATGTTGCGGTAGCCGTTGAGGGAGAGGTCAAGGGCGGTAGACAGACCAAAGGTTCCGGCCCCGACAATCAGGATAGATGCGTCTTTGAGTTCAGCCATGATTGGGAAATAGACTTATCAACCCTGTTGGCTGGCTGGTAAGGGGGAAGATAACGTGAGAGGGACGCTAGCAAATATATTGCAAGATATTTTGGCAATACCGGTGATGACTTGGCAATTGAGCGATATCGGCTACATTTCTTGATATGAGCTGATATTGAACCGAGTTTCTGGTTACAATCATTGTCCACCTGATCAAATCTTTAACGACTTCCATAATCTTGCTTTTGTTATCTTGGCGTGTGGAGTTTTCGAGAGATTGTACCGATACCTAGACCCCACTCCCAGCCGTAATCATCCAATAGCGATGATTACCAGCTTCCCCGCATCTAGCCTTGGCACGGCGTGATGGAGGGAAGGTCGAAACGACCTTGCATGTCTTTGGAGACCCTGGAATTGGCTTATCAGGGGAGGTTCACGGCTTGAGCCCCCGGGGAACCCTGATCGGATAGTCCAACAGCTGGAAGCTATCTCGTCTTACCCCGGAATGTCATGATTTCCCCTCACTGTGCTTCCAGGCCTCTGGATCCTTGACTCGAGGCGTTATCATGGGTTGCCCTTAGGCGCGTGCTAGTTATTCCCGATAATAACGTTGCCTTTCTTAGCCTCACGCCAGAAGCATAAGAACCCTCCTGATACCCACCAAAACTTGCAACCTCCTGCAACAAACGTCCAGGTTCAATATCCAACTCACCCATTGCCATCATCGCCATCTCTCACCACACCTGCAACTATGGGTGCCCCAGAGTCAGATGACAAGACGCACGCCATCTCGGAGGCTCCGTCCATCCAACAGGCCGGGATGGTCGAGGCTCAGAAGCTCGACAATCGCAATGCTGACAAGGCGGCCGTATACCTCAACAGCACTGAGCATTATGAGCCTCTCACTCCTGCCGAGGAGAAGAAGGTGATGCGAAAGATTGATTGGATCTTGCTGCCAATGGTATGGAGAGCTCTGACCTAGAGAAGAATGAAAGCTAACGGTTATGGCTCCTTAGCTCTTCCTCGTGGCCACTCTAGGAGCGTAAGAAGCACCTTCGCTAGTGAAATAGGGTGCAATCGTCTAACCCTGTTCTCGATAGTATTGACAAAGTTGCTCTCGGTACGGCTGCGCTCTACGGGCTCCGCGAGGACAACAACCTTGTCGGTCAGCAGTACAGCTGGCTCGGCTCCATTCTCCCTCTGGGTGTTGGTCACCCTTTCTTCTTGATTGAGAATAGACCTAGCTGACAGAATCTACGCAGGCACTTGTCGGCATGTTCCCCTCGACCTGGCTCATCCACCGCCTCCCAAGCGCCAAATATCTCTCTGCCTGCTCCATGGGCTGGTCCGCGTGTGCCCTGCTTATGGTAGCATGCCACAACTTTGCAGGGCTCGCCGCTCTTCGGTTCTTGATGGGTAAGTCTCCAAGGCAGCGCCTTTTGCGAGTCTTGTGTCTGACGAGAATGGCAACAAAACAGGTGCCTTCGAAGCCATCATCGTCCCCGGCATCTCCCTGATGCTCGCTGGCTTTTACCTCAAGGAGGAGCAGCCCCCTAGAAACGCCCTTGTGTTTGCTGCTGCCAGTTCTGTCATCAACGGCTTCCTCTCCTGGGCTGTTGGTCATATTCCTGAGAGTGCGCCGCTCGCCATCTGGCAATATCTGTTTATCCTGACTGGTAAGTCATAGCTGGGCTACTCCCAAAATGTATAACACACTCACCAACCCTGTTCCAGGCTCCGTCTCCATGACCTGGTCCATCATCGCATTTATCTGGCTCCCCGGAACCCCAATGGACGCCTTCTTCCTCAGCGATCGGGAGAAGCACCACGTCGTGAACCGTCTGGCTGCCAACAAAACTGGTATTTCCAACAGCGTCTGGAAATGGTCCCAGGTTAAAGAGGCGGTCATTGACCCCAAGACCTGGCTCCTCTTCTTCTTCAACATTGCCATCAACATTCCTAATGGCGGCCTCGTCACGTTTGGCGGGCTGATTATCCAGGGCCTCGGTTACTCTGGCGTTGACGCATCACTCCTCACCATGCCGACCGGTGTCATGTCCACCATCGCCTCCTTTACCTTCTCGCTCTTGTCCGCCAAGTGGAAGAACCGTCGCTGCCTGGTCACAATTTTGGCCTGCCTCGTCCCTATCGTTGGTACCGCCGTCGTCTTCGCCCTCCCCCGAAGCAACCTTGCAGGGCAGATGGTTGGTCTGTACCTCCTGTACACCTACTTTGGTCCTTATGTCGTTGGTATCGGCCTGGCCCAGGCTAATACCGCCGGCCACACCAAGAAGTCGGTCGTGTTCGCCATCCTCTACATCGGATACGCCGTCGGCAACCTTATCGGCCCCCAGACGTTCCGCGCCAATCAGGCTCCGGAATATGTCGGTGGCACCATCTCCATGATCGTCTGCTACGGCGTTTGCATGGCCATCATGGGCGCGTATTGGGCCATTGCCGCGTGGCAGAACAAGAAGAATGCTGACAACCTGGCTGCTTCTGGTGACCAGGACGAGGATGTGATCGAATCATTCTTGGATGAGACCGATTTCGAGCAGAAGACGTTCATTTATACTACCTAGTTGTTCAAGTAGAAAGAGATGTCTGGGTCTGGGGATTGCTGTGCGGCCGTTGGTTAATCTGAACACGGCAACTTCTGTCCTGCCAAGACAGGGGAGCGAAGGTTAGGATAAGTTGATAGTAACATGAAGAAGTATGTAATTTGCAAGGAAAAGTGGTGTCCTTGCACATGAGGCGCCTTTGTATACTTATCCTACAGATTTCCAGCGGCGTTGCTTCCCTTGATACTCCCTCTGCACTGACGTCAACCACCTCCTCTTGCTATCCTAGGCCTCAAGAACACAGTATGACAGCCATGTAAACAATACTTACAATTTGACATCGCACAATGACGGGGTTACAGGGCAATTCAAGCGAAGAGCGAGCTTGCAATGCTACTCCAAGACCAAGACATAAGTTGATGTTCAAATGCAAACCGCTCTTCTTACCTGTTTCGTTCTCGTGTTTACTTGAGTGGGTCCTCCAATACGGGGTTTCCTTTACTATTATCTGCAATGGCGACAAGGCGTTATCAGTCGCAATAGCAGAAAACACAGTCTTCAATACACAGCAGTATCGAACCCTAATACTGCTGCTAATACAGACGATCGGCCTGGAAACCATAGTTCCCTTGATGCATATCCAAACATGTTGAGGCGGAGCTCAGACTACACTCTTAATCGGTTTTCTTAGAAAGGTTTAGATACTCTCAGAAGCCACCCTGTATTGGCCAGAGCTAGTGGAAGCCCCAGCAGATAAAATCACGCACCTCGCCTGGACCTTCTCCCGTCGAGATCCCAAGTGGGCCCGCCGAGCACCACCTCTTCAAGTCTACTCAGACACAATGCCTCATATATAAACCCGGAGAGCCCCTAGATGTACGGAAATATTTCTCCCACTCCTCCAACTTGCTCTGTTGCAAACTTTCCCGCCATGACATACCAAGAAAACACGACGCAAGTGGGCCAAGCGATCAGTTCTCTACATCGACTAACAACAAACAGGAAGAAATATGTCCTCAACACGGGGGACTCGATGCCCGCCCTAGGCCTTGGTACATGGCAGTCCAAGCCGGGCGAGGTTGAACTCGCCGTGCAATGGGCCCTCGAGTGCGGCTACCGCCATATCGATACGGCATTTGCGTACGGCAATGAGAAGGAAGTAGGCGCAGGCATCAGGGCATCCGGGGTTCCTCGAGAGCAGATCTGGCTTACCACAAAGCTAGACAATGATTGCCACCACCGTGTTGCTGAGGCAATTGACACGAGCCTTGCAAACTTGGGCACTGACTATGTTGATCTGTATTTGATGCACTGGCCGGTTGCTCTGGATCCTGGCAACCATGACCAGGTCCTCAAAGACTGGGATTTCGTGGATACCTGGCGGGATATGCAGAAGCTCGTTGGTACCGGCAAGGTTCGCAACATTGGTGTCAGCAACTTTGGTATAAGGAACCTGGACAAGCTACTGTCAGCGGAGAGCTGCAAGGTAATCTACTGAACGCTTCTACCTAGAACAGGCTCTAACGTTTGCAGATAACCCCGGCCGTAAATCAGGTGGAACTCCATCCTTTCAACCCTTCCACCAGGCTCGTCAAGTACAACGAGTCTAAGGGAATTCACACAACAGCGTACTCGCCTCTCGGCAGCACAAACTCGCCAATATATTCCAACGAGACTGTCATCTCAATCGCAAAGACCCACGGTCGCACTCCGCAGCAGATCTTGTTAATGTGGGGTTTGCAGAGGGGGACAAGTCTGCTGCCAAAGTCCGTCACCAAGGAGCGCATCGAGGCAAACTTTGATCTCAGAGGCTGGCAGCTTACCGATCGAGAGATGGCCAGCCTCTCTGGTATTCCTGATCGTTTCAAAGTTGCCGACGATTCGTGGCTCCCTGTGAGAGTCTTCTTTGGAGATGACGAAGAAATTGATGCTACGAGGCCTGTTTCGATGCTGTAAAGGGCTTTTTCTGTCCAGGATTGCGGATTAAACGGACGCGAGCCTTGCTTAGCGATTCAGACTTTTTTAGTCATGCCAGAGATCATCCCACCTACTTACCACCATACATAAACTCCCTACATAGATACTCTTCTTACAACCCACTTCCTATCAAGCAAGGTGCCAGTACCCTGAAGGTAACCTTGATATGCATGTAGATTACATACAGTTAAATAGAGACTCGTGCATACTCGCTTAAGGCGGCCTTTCCCTAGCTGCGAACCATGGCCTTCCCCCACCGCCTTTTCAGCTGGGCGGGTAAATTAAACACGCGCATCAGAGAAACGGCTGTGATAGGCCGCTGGAGAACCGTCTGGGCCCTCTGAGGCACATCTGTTGGGGTAGAATGAAAATGCCCATGTGATTCTGCTTTGTGCCCAACCGACCATCCTGACACTTCAACCCTACACAAACATCGCAACCGGGCTGTTCCTGTCATTATAGACAAGAGTGATGGCAGGTTCTGCGTCCAAAGGTGTGGCATTGCCAGACGACTTGGACAAGTAGTGCTAACTTATATTTGACCGCTAGGGCACGGCCCCGCTTGGCCTCGCGAACCTCACGTGATAACCGAGATAGAGACATATCGGCAAAGGGTAAAGAGTTTTCTCCACAACGACGCTTTGCATCCGTGGGTAAAAGACATCACCGCTGTGGAGTCAAGGCTTCGAATATTGGATTTAGAAGCAGGACGCGATGGCTCAATAGCTACCGAGCCTGCCAGTCCAGAGGAGACTTGGCTATATCTCGAGAATGCTCTGAGCAGTTCATCCGGCCGGCGTCTGATCTTGCTGGAGGGTATGAACCCGAGATTAGCAGAGGTACTTGGAGTGAAGCTCGGTATACCTCCGGAATTTTGGTTGTCACATTGGGGTCATACTGCGAGACCTCGAATATCTGATTCCTCAGGCAGCTCAACGTACTGGAAGGTACAGGTACCGCAGCAATGTCTAGTATCAAAAGACTTGTCGCGCACTGAGGGTGTGTATACTATTCAATTAGGACACTGCCCTCGTGGAACGACTTATTGCGATGCGGAGGAGAAGCAAACATATGTGAGCAGTGTTGTATCTTATTGGGCGGACAAGTTTGCCGAGGAGTCATGGATAGGTGAGCATAGAACGCAAAAGCAAATCCCAGGCGCTGACTCGTGTCTAAAGCCGTTGCACTGGTCGACGCTCCTACAGGTCATTTAACCCCTCGATCCTTGCCGCCTCTTGGATTCACACGTTCTCGCCCTGCAAGGCATAGAGCCCACAGGGTATATCCCTGTAGCACCCCGATGTGGGATGCCATCGTGCAAACCTACGAAACAGAAAAGGATATTTCAACAGAAGACCCATTCTTGGCCACTACCATCATTCGGAACGCCGTCGGCTCCGCCTGGAAGACCAAGACCAACGATGACATCAATCGGTTGCACGTGGTTTGGACGACCGCCAATGACTACCGCTTTGGGCTCAATGCGGTCAATCTATACCAAGGAGGAGAGGTTTTGATCAAACAAAGTAACCAGACCTCGATAGAATACGAGACGCTGATGGAAGAGCGACATTCTATCCAGCAGCACGAGGCACAACTCAAGGAGATTATTCGAGCCTTTCGGTACGACAGCAACGAGTTTACATCGTCTCCACCAGATTCGAAGCTTCGGCTCTTAATTTCCAATGAAGCAAGCCGATGGAGAGGCACCCATAACCAGTATCAATGGATGAATACAACCATGGCCGAAACCATGACGATATGTGCCGAGGATACCGCAATGGAAGAAGCCTTTACGACCAATATGCAGATCATCGATACCTACATACAGACAGCGGCGGTCAATATGCAAGCTACGGCCAATCAAATAGCTCGCAGCTCTGGTCAACTCGCCAGCATCGCCATGGTAGCTGTGCCATGTATGGTCTTGGCATCTATCTTCTCTATGACCGCAGGGGCGCACCTATTTTTTGTCTACTGGTGCACCGCTATTCCGATGACCCTTTTCCTGCTCGGCTGGGTCATCCAGAAGGATGTTGTGGCGCTGGTGGTGAAAATGGAGGAGAGGTTGAGGGGTAGCAGGACTGACATGTCCTCGAGCGACATGTTATACCTTGATTAAATTTAATTTAGTTCACTTCCCAAACTCACCCGGCTTGTTGTTTGGTCAACTTCATTCCCCGAGGCTGTTCTTCATAAGTTGAGACGGGGTTGCCTCGCTGACTGTACGACCAAGCCCTCTGAAACAAAGCCGCTATTTAACTGGTGACTGAGCTGCAGTCCCCACTCATGAAAAAAATCTCCTGCGTGAATTTGGGATACACTATGGTCTACGCAGCAGCACACCATGGCAAGCAGAGCATCAGATAATGCAGTTGTCCCTAATCAAGGAGTCCCAAAGCCATTGTCCTGCCTTGAATGCAAGCAGAGCAAACGGAAATGCGACAAAAGCTTGCCGCAATGTCTTCGTTGTGCAGAGAAAGGAAAAGCATGCATATATCCCAGTGCACGACAGACGAACACGGTCAAAGGAAAACAGGTCCGTGACCTGGAGGCCATTCTAGGTCCGTTCATTTGCATTCTCCACCACTATTTGCGGTTGGGTTTTTTAATTTCGGTAACTCTAACATGGTAGCCCAGAGCGAGTCGAACATCAGATTGGCAGTCTCGGCGCCGGAGAATCTATGCATTCACATTCGGAGCGAGCTGCCCCCGAGCTTCAAAGTCGTCAAGAAGCGGATTCCACCGACAGTTTGAACAACCATCTACTCCCGGCGTTGCCATTTCTTTCAAGCGATATATCTCAGCCATTTCCACCCGTCGATCCCCATCTGCGGGAAGAGCTGTAAGAACCAATGTTTCGAAGAGTCTTGATTCCCGCTGAAGAATGGCATGTTAGAACCACCATATATTTTGACAAGCTATATCATGCGGCGCCGATGATCCATCGACAACGCTACATGGCCTCACTAGACCACCCTCTTTCGGACCAACCTCCCTATTGTCTTCAGCTGATGATTATGGCTTCCGCGGCATATATCACAGACGACTATACGTCAATGGCTCTCACACTGTATCAGCGCGCGAAGGATCTAGCCGAGGAGGACGAGACACACGTGAGTTATAAACAAACTCTGCAACAACAACACTCAGTTACTCATGTCTCTTAGAAACAAGAACATAACTTTGTGACATTGGCACATACTCAGTGTTGGCTACTTATTTCTAATTTTGAAGCTCGACTTGCCATGTTCTCGCAAGCGTCTATCAGTTTGGGCAAGACCATTCGGACTGCACAGATGCTTAACCTACACCGACTTGATCGGAATGAGCCGGCCTCTGACAGCCGTTCACCCTCCTCCCCTGGGTCCACCAAAGACTGGTCTGAATTAGAAGAATGCCGTAGGACATTCTGGGTAGCCTTTACATCGGACCGCCTAGTCTTTTCAACTTCTGGACTACCCGTCTTGATTCACGAGCGAGACGTAAGTGGCGAACTGTGAGATGGGCTTATAGCCAATAGCTTATGCAGCACAGATACAAACTCTGCTTCCAGCTTCTGAAGATGCTTTCACGAGTGGTATCAAGGAGGAAACAAAGGCTTTCCAGGACGCATTAAGTCAACCTGGGCCAGGATGCTCGCCACTTGCATTCCGCTCTCTAGCTGCGCACTTGTTTTATCTATCCTTGAAGACAATGCCTTCAGACCACGGTGAGGGTGATGTGGAGGAGAATCAAGACAGTTGGTTAAGCCAATACGATGAGATTGATAACCGCGTGGCTCTGTTGTTAACGCAACTGCCAGAACACCTACGACTGCCACGGGCCTCGCGTTGTCAACAAGCCGTATTTGTCAACATTCTCATCCACGAGGCTACCATCTGCCTGCACAAATCCGTACTGAAAAGGGCGCAGGACACTCGGGGTTTTATTCCAGAGCCTGTTATACGCCAGAGTCAGAACCGAATAATGACGGCGGCAGAAGAAATTCTATCTATTTTCCGTCTACGGCTCGATCTCAAAATTGCTTTGCGAAATCCCATCATCAACTTTGCGGCTTACACAGCGGCCCTCGTCTTCCTAGAACGAGCCGCAGACGAACAGAGCACAGAAAGCCGACGCAACGTCAACTTTTTTATCAATGTTCTGGACGGTATCAGCCATACGCATCCAGCAGCTAGAGAACTGGCAGCTCAGCTGGCGGCAAATGCGAGAGCAGCGGGCATTGAAAGAAGCATGGGGGTGAACTAGGTACCAAATAGGTATATATACACAGATGTGGTGTATTAAAATCACACTCAACCGTTATTGTAGTCTACAGTGGCGTCGGCCTCATCCTCATCGTCCTCCAGAAGTCGGGTCAACTTTCTCATTTGACGTTTTCGCGTCCCACTAGACTATTTGAAATACCTGGAACATGATCTGGGCCGCCATTGACAGCCACGTTGTTACTGAGCGAGTGAGAAGTAGGCTTGAGGAAGCTCATCCAAACCGCGCTTCTTCAAGAATTCCTCCCATGTCTCCGGTTTAACCTCAGGATATCGTTCATTATCAGTAACGGGACCGACAAAAGTCTGACCATTGAGCCAATAATACATGAAAAACCTACAAGAGTTAGTCTCGGGCTCTAGGTCGAATGGGAAGTTTCTGTAGATTGCCAACGCGACATTAACAGATTTGACACTTACAAAAACATGTAGCTGAACACGCCGCTAGGATTCTTGGCCCGTAGAGCGTTCATCTGGGTCTTCAAGTCATCGAGGCTCCCTAGGCGCTCGAGCTTAGGCTGGATGCCATACACTTCCTGGAACGTTGCAGCGATCTCTTTGATCGACTTGCGGTCACCAAGATCTAAGAATGACTCGTTAACAACCACAAAGCCTACCACTATCCCGCTTGGGGTCTCACATTTCTTAATACCAATCGCCGACGTGTCTGCTATAACCGCAGCAGTGAACTCGGCCGCGTTGTCATACGACGTGGCCTCCCAGGGCTCGTCACCCTCACCCCAATATCGCAGCGTCTTGGCTTCGGGATCCCAGACCTGAAACAAAGGACTAAAGATGGGATCCATGAAGCCACCGATGAGGACATGTACGCCCTTGACGGTTTTCTTCGTCTCAAGATAAGCCTTGACATGTATCATTGGGTCCTTGGGAAAGAGTTCACCGAGGCTGAGCTTGGTATAGTCCAGAGCCCAATCGCTGGCCACGTAGCGAGGGACACCAGCTTCCTCGCAAGCATCGATAAGCTTCTTCTGGCCATCTACCATGAGGTCATCGGTACCCAAATAGGCACAAACGACAACATCGCAGCCAGTAACAAACGGCTTGATGGCTGTGTCGTCAAATGCTTCGCCTTTGAACAGTTTGAGGCGAGGCGATTCAGCAAGAGCGGGGACCACCTTGGAGGGATCACGAGCATAGCCGCGGAGGTGGATGCCAGGGCTCTGGAGGAGCTTTGAGGCGAGCAGGCGGCCGAACTTGCCCGTGATACCAGCGAGGCCAACGGTAAGGGATGGCATGATGAGAGGCGTGATATAGAAAGAGTAACACGTTGCTTGAATCGACGTTCTGTTGATGTTTAGAATTGCAACAAAGCAGTGGGCTTGATCGCTCTTATATGTTCTCCAGGTCCTTACACCGCCTCATACTACTCGTAGTCCTGCCTCTATACATGTTCTTACGAGCGGGCATTGTCGGACGCCGAACGATTACTAAGGTACCTTGGTAGGTGTGAAGCATTCCGCGACACGTACCCCGGTTTGTCAGGTTCGGACATTCTTTCGCGCTGAAAGTATTCCGATCAAAATGAGTCGCGCCACTCGGCTTTTACGAGAGCGAGGTTTGTTGATCGGCGATTCTGTCCTTCTCACCGATTCCGACGGACCGAAAGCCAATCGGGTCCCTTAACCATTGCATTATCATCCATGTTTGCTTATCACTTGTTTGAGGCGACTCTAAAACCCAGCCAGCCAAGGCACAGCAAGTACAGACAGCATTCCTTGAAACAAACATCGCAACAGTCGCGGGAGGAAACATGATCACAACAGCTAGGGAATGTGAGAGGCATTGATTCATGTCCGTCTGGTTCTTTAATACAGAGGCCAAAGTGCCAATAAAAATTGATCCATTAAAATTAATCTGAGTGGAATAGTCGAAATGCTATGTTGGCAGTGATGATTCCCACATCCGTTAAAAATAAGCTGCTTGACTCAACTTGTGGGATCTGCACACTCAATGTTAGCGCTTGGAAACTTCGTCGAGGTGCTCAAATGATGGAATACTCACCAGGTCCGGTGGTACTTCTATGCCCACGTAGTACATATCTCTAGCAACTTGGTTTGCCAATGACTTGGCCACGGCATTATCTTGGCTGATTGTAACCAACACAGAGAGTAGAAACTGGGCCGTGTCCTCACTTTGCTGCTTCTGTCTTTCCAAGTAGTCTTCAATGAAAACTAGGATGGCTAGATAAACCGCAAAGTTGAGGATCGGATTAATAAAAGTCATCCTGCAGTCCGGTGCCATGCGGAGGATATGTGCGATCTCTTCCGCCGAGTTGAGGAGTCGTCCATGACTTTGGCGAGCTTGTTGTCTCACCCATTGATCCTCCCCAGCGCTGTTATCCGAGTAGCGGATGTTCCATAGCCCTCCGCGATGAAGGCTGATGATGGCGGCATGTATATGGGTGTTGATCATAACCGCGTCTGGATTGCTGGGGAAGTTCGATAGACGAGCAGTATCGGGCAGATTCATCAACAATAAAGAGAGATCGTTATCAAGCCGACGGTGCTGATTCCAGAACTCATCCTGTTCGACTTCCAAACAACTGCTTGGGCTAATTGGAGATGTATGCTCCAACGTGTGCTGAAAGAAAAGTGCTGCAATGACTCTAATAGTGAGAATGGACTGTCCCACTGATCTCAGACTTAGGGCAGATTCTAGAGTCTCGGTGAGCTCTCTACGTCCCTCTGCGAATGCCTCTTCTGTGGTCGGAAGCAATGTCGAAGTCTGGATATTGTTAGTTTCGGACAGATTATATCACACCAAGATCAACTCTCACCTCTCGCTCATCAATGCACAAGGGCAAACCCGTTGTGCCGCAAACCAGGCGGTCCGCTATAAAGAGAACCCACCAAGTGCGACGTCTCTCTTCCAATTCAATCCAATCCTCAGCAGAGGCGACTGCAGAATCTTCACTCTGTTTGTCGAGCCGATGGAGGTGAAGCAGCTGCGCAGTACGGATGCCTCGACATAAACTGTTTACTGCTTGAGAAAACATCATTTGCTGTGCTTCAAAGTTGGCCACTAAAGCCCAGTATTGAATGTGAGATAATGTGATGGAGTCTTGTCCTTCGCCCTATGTCAAGTCAGCATGGAAGTGGCTCGCCTCGCACCCGTCATTAACACCTTTGAGTCGGTTGATCTGGCTTGAGCCTTGGCACACTGATAAAAGGTTTTTGCCACGACCTGATTGTTCCGTGAAACACTTGCCCCTAAAGCCATTATGATATATATCAGGCATTTTGGGGTCTGACGAGTTGCCTGCTGAGATAGTGATTCCATGAAGCGCGCCTTGTGAATCATTGGGGCGGCCCACCCCATATTGTCAAAGTATGTCTCAATTCTACCGTGTTCAATTAGCAAACATCGGGCACCTTGGCATTGATCACCCTACAATTCAAGCGAGGAGCCATGATATGAGTCGTGGCCGAGACTTGACCCCAAGCTCAAACTGTCTTCATCGAATAACGTCAAGTTCAACGTAGCCGGTTGTGATCCATGAGAAGTCTGGTCATCCTCTATGGGTATTTCGAGCGAGTTGCTTGTTTCTCGAGCAATTGGTTGGTCAACTGTATCTTCTTCTGATGCTTGTTGTTGATTCGCTTGGAAGGCCGCAAGTTGATGCTCGAGTTGAACTAAATCGCAGCTAGGATTAAAATCTGGAACGACATTAAAGTGAGAGGTGAGAGGTGTACCTAGCTTCGTCTCGAGCTCACGGATCTTCCTTGGTCTGCCGGTTATTGTCTTCCTCGAGCCGGGAAAAACACAGTCTTCGCCTGATTGTGTACAACGGCTACAAGATGGCAAAAGGCGGTCGCATTTCAACTTTTTGCTTCTGCAGGTCAAGCACGACATGCGCGTTTGCTGTTGGCTCATGGTGGAGAGGATAATCGGCGTTGCTGTCTTGTCCGTAGACCCACAGTGATCGTGGCCACCTTCAGTGGCAGCGGACTGTGAGGCTTATGGCCACTACGGTTTTAAAAACTAGAAAGTGTCTATTATGACTAATCGTTTGAGAGCTAACAGTAAATCGGTGTCCGATAAATGCCGACAACATTACTAAGTTTTTACTACTTACTAGCTTATGTAGGCTAAGGCCCAGGCGGGCCGAAGACTCACAACACGAGACGGTTCACAGACCGTCAGTCTGGTCGTAATTCCAAGACCCCAAGTTCCCTTCCCTAAGTAAGCATAACGTCTTCAATTTATCCAAAGAGGCCATGTCTTAAAGATTGCTTTAACTTGAACTTCTTTCTGAAACAGCGTCAAAGCATCAACTTGAATTTCACATGTGTATAAGTAGAGTACCTAAGACATCGAAAACTACTCGGTATAAAGAAAGCAATAATATCAGTCCCCCTCCGCCCAGCTGCCACCCGATAGCATCTACTTTGCCTTGACAAATGCACTATTCTTCAACCATGTCTCCATCTTGGTCACATGAGGGTGGACCTTCTCAATCCCGTCCAAATCTGCAGCGTACCCTTCATCCCTGAACCAATCTACCATGAGTCCCATTTCTGCAACACCATGCTTCAACGCTTTACCAAGGAGACTAAAAGTAGTGCCAGCTGGCTCCCCTGTCACTTTCTTGAACGTATCGCTCAACTGAGAGAAGGTCAAGACATCTCCCGCGAGACCAACAGCCCTTTTGTTCCAAGTCTTGGGATCATGAAAAGCCTCGGCTCCAAAGAAACCAATATCCTTGGTAGCAATCCATTGGAGTGGCTTATCCTTGATTGTATCGCGCAGCATTGTCATGAAAACCTTGCCTGGGAAGCCGGGAACAAGGTTATCCATGAAGATAACCGGTCGCAAGATTGTCCACCCCATAGTCTTTCCGGCAGTCGTATCGCGCAGATAGTGTTCAATCTCGTGCTTCGTTTTGAAGTGCGGCACGGGTGTAGGGTTATCCCACGACCGCTCGTTGCCCCCGCGCTCAACGCTGCTGTACACGAAGTGCTGCACATCAGCCTTGATTGATTCGTCAATCATGGCTTTGCCCTGCTTGATCTCGCCTTCAAGCGTAACGCCTTTGCCCATGGAGGCCTGTACAGAGTACACACCCCAGAGTGGTACAGTTCCAGCGACTTGTTTCGCAGACTCAAAGAGTCTGGGTGTCGAATCGAGGTCGCCCTCGACTAGACGAATCGACGATGGCGATTTGGCGGCGAGGCGTTGGGCGCTGGGAGACTTGGCATTACGAGTGACGGCAAGTAGGAGGAAATCGGATGGCTTCCTGCTAAGGAGAGCGTCGATGACGGCACCACCTTGGTTACCGGTCGCGCCCGTAACCAAGATTGCTCGAGACATGTTGGTGAAACGATGAACCGGGAGGGACGAAGAAGAGAATCGGATGCAATGACAGTGCTTGAGAGAAAGATAGGTGAGTGTTCCTGCTAAGAAGTCTCAGAGTTCAAGCGGCCGATGTCTTGCTTAAAACTTTTGAAAAGCAAGGCGCGCCGGAAAAACAAAGTTGTCTGGCCAGCGGGAAAGACCTGTTCGCGCTCGGAGTTGTCCGATTCTAAGATTGAATAATCAAAATGTCTCCTGCGGCAAATGTCGGACGCCGAGATTGTTAGCGTCCAGGGACGATGCTTAACTTCACGCGATTACCGATGGCAAAGCTGTGAAATAGTGCCACACATCATTTATTAGTAATAATGTTGAAGCTCATCTGATATGGCGAGACTTCTAACAAGAACTCGACGACTTCTCGAGAGTGGTAAAAAATAAAAAATAAGCAATATAAATGCTATGAGGGCACGCAGAATAAATTAAATTTTTATCGACATCAATTCTATTGCAGCGCCTCATATCACTTGCCAGGACCTTTTTTATTTTTATTCTTTCCTGTAAATAGCATGACTCAATTACTAACCATCATCTTGTGAAATACCTCAGTGCCTTCAACAGGCATAGACTGACCCGTCTAAGTCAAGTCCTGGCTGTTCAGTCTAACGCTGTCCTCTAGAGAGGTGAATGACGACTTGCCCAGCCTTTCTAACAGCTGAATAGATCGCGATCGTGGCTTCTCAACATCTGATAGGTCCCGGCCAGACTGGAAATCCTTGATGAAGGTCTTGTTCGGGTTCTGGCGTCGTAGGATAGCAAGAATTGTATCAAAGTTCCATGGCTTTGCCCAAGCAAATAATCTTTCACCCTCGACATCAGAGAATGTTGCTCCTGCAACGTGAAGCCTCGCGGTGTCCTGTACATCAACAAAGTACTCTTCACAAGACTGTTAGTGATGTTTGCTCTGGAATCAAATAAACTCGGCATTGACATACGAGGGGGAATATTCTTCAGCCGTTCTAGATCGGTCCCGTTCCAGAGACTCTGGATGAAAGAAGACGTCGACGGGTGTCCTTGGTTCGCAGGGTCAAGACTTTTACCGAAATTCGTGCTAGGAAGCACTGCAGCAAGTCAGCCCGAGTATCTGTACGGTGATAGACAACACAGCCCATACCTGTATTCACGACCAAATCCGAACGACGGGACTGATCCTTGTAATAGAAACCCCACACAGCTCGTTCTGCCTCTGTTTTGCTGCTTGCATAGGCCACGTACCAGTGCGCCGGTGAGGATGAACCCTGTGCCGCTGCCACAGCCTCATCGTTCCAGGTGTTCTCCGTCACCACGATACCTTCCACCTCAGGCCGAGGAAAAACTGCTGCAACTGAGGAGCTGGTGAGGACGAAGCGTTTCACGCTCGGCTGCTTGTTAGCTGCTTTCAAGGCATTCATGGCGCCAACAACCGCATTGGTGATCAAGCTCTCAGTGCTGGTGCCCCAGTCCAGGGGTGAGGCGACATGTACAACCGCGGCAACCCCTTTGTAAGTATTAGCATGGTTGAACTGTGTAATTTGAGGTGAACCAGCTTACCTTTTACAGCCTCTTCGAATGCCTCTGTCAAAGCCAGGTCGATAACGGGAAATAGCGTAAACTTGTCTTGGCCATACTGCTTGACGAAGAGGTCTTGGACCCAGGCGCTTTTGGACACATCGCGCACTGTTCCACGAACATTGTAGCCCCGTTCAAGGAATTCATTGGCAACGTGAGACCCAATCAGACCGTTGACGCCCGTCACCAGAACGGTTGAGCCTGTTGGAATAGCAGAATATTCATTAGGAAGAGGTAACATGATGGGCGATGAGATTCGGTATGAGCCGCTGTGAGTTTTACCTGGTTGTAATGTGATGCAAGACGGAAGGTTAGCTAAGGGATAAAACTGAATGATTTCATCAAGCGGCTTCAGCTTGATGGCTAGTGCGATAAACGAACGATGGAGATACTGCGACCCGGTATCCGACAAGGGCCGAAAAGAGATTGATTGTTCCGGAATTAATAAGATAAGGTCACCAGAATGCCGAGAAGATGATAAGGGCAAGTCAAATTGCAAAAGAGTTAGAATGCATAGATGTCCGATGCTTACAGATCATAATCAGTCGGTGTCCGATCCAGTCCATTCCTGCGCCGACGGTCTTTTACGTACCGATGACCGGGGGGAAAACGACTACGAAAGGAGCAGGAGCAGTTTTGTCTTTCCATAAAACTACCTGTTGCCCTCTCCGATTACATCCAATCTTTTCCCAAGTAATTACAGCCTCTCCTTTCCCTTAAGCCAAGGTGTTCAGTCATTAATACCATTTCTTTCCTCGAATCTGTCTTACTCTCTTTTATTCTCTCCTCAATCAGGACCTTTGTTTGCTCGAGATGAGCGACGTACCCGAGAAGACGCCGGAAACGGACCCAAGTGCCGCAACCGAGACTTCGACAGATAATGAAACTCAAGGACCAAGCCACACCATGGACGACGAAGCAGTGGCTGTCTATCCCATGGGGATCAAGCTCGCGCTCATAACAATCAGTCTCATGTTGGCCGTTCTTTGTGTTGCTTTGGATAACACTGTGAGTTATCTTTGTCCCATTGCTCTCCTCCCCTATTGATTAGAATATCCCAGATCATTGCTGTGGCAATTCCGCACATCACAGACCAGTTCCACAACCTCAACGATGTAGGGTGGTATGCTTCAGCCTATCTACTCACGACGTGCGGTAAGTGCACACCACAAAGGATTTACCGAGCGGGAATACTCATATCATGGCCTAGCCCTGCAACTTCTTTTCGGCAAGCTTTACGCCCTCTTCAGTGTCAAGATCGTTTTTCTCTCTGCGCTGTTTGTGTTCGAGCTTGGTTCTCTGATTTGCGGTATTGCACCAACGTCGACTGCGCTCATCATCGGTAGAGCAATCGCAGGCTTGGGCAGTGCTGGCATTTTTACCGGTGCTCTCGTCACGATTGCTCACACAGTTGCGCGGGAAAAGAGACCCATCTTCTTCGGCCTCTTGGGCGGCATGTATGGTATAGCTTCCGTCGCTGGACCTTTGGTAAGTTTGTGGCCTCAATTGCCGCAACCGACGAACCTGACTTTTTGAACAGATGGGCGGCGCTTTTACGGACCATGCATCATGGAGATGGTGTTTTTATATCAACTTGCCTCTGGGTGGCGTGACAGCGGCTGTCATCCTACTCATCTTGAAGCTACCCGCCAAGCCGGCTTCAAAGCGAGCATCGTTTCTCCAAGTTCTCAAAGGTTTGGATCCCATTGGAACTGCTGTTTTCATACCGAGCATCATTTGCCTCCTCCTCGCTCTTCAGTGGGGAGGGGTCAAGTACCAGTGGTCGAATGCACGAATCATTGTCCTGTTCGTCCTGTTCGGCGCCTTGCTTGTTGGATTCGTTGCTGTTCAACTGATTATGAAGGATGACGCAACTGGTAAGTCGAGAAGATTCCTCCTCCTCATCTCCACAATGCTAATGCAGAAGTTTAGTTCCGCCACGCATCGCTGGCAATAGAACTATTGCCTCAGCTGCCCTATTCGGGTTCTGTATCGGTGGCTCATTCTTCATTCTGACATACTACATTCCAATCTGGGTAAGGATTCGCGTATAGTGTGCCCGGGGCTATCCTAGATGCTAACACTGCACAGTTCCAAGTCATCAAGAACACATCTGCGGTTCGATCCGGCATATACTCACTACCTATGATCCTCGCAAATGTGGTAGGAATTGTCGGCGCTGGCTCTTTGACTACCAAATTTGGCCACTACGCACCATTCTTCATTGCTAGTGCTGTCATCATGTCTATTGGAGCTGGACTGATCACCACCTTCACTGTGCACACTGCACAAGCCAAATGGGTCGGTTACCTATTCATTTATGGCTTCGGTGTCGGCCTTGGCTTTCAGCAAGGTGGAGTAGCCGCACAGGCCGTTCTCCCTTTAAAAGACGTGTCTATTGGCACTGCCATGGTCATGTTTGTGCAGATGCTAGGTGGAGCCCTGTTTGTTTCTGTGGCTCAGAACCTGTTTACCAACCAACTTGTCAATAACTTGATGGCTCTGGATATCCCTGATCTGCATCCTGAGGCTATTGTACACGCGGGAGCAACTAGTCTGAGGTCTATGATAGATCCTGAGGCTTTACCCGAGGTTCTAACCGCGTACAATATGGCTCTTGTCAAAACTTTCCAGCTTGCTCTTATTATGAGCTGTCTTAGTATCTTGGGTGCTCTGGGTATTGAGTGGAAGAGCGTCAAGGGGAAAGAACTAGCTCCTGGCGGCGCTTAATACTTTAGTGGTAATCAGTAGTGCATTTCGGGTCAGGGTAAGCCTCTATGTGCAATGGTGGCCGCGGGTCTTAGTGAAGTTGTTCTCGATTTGAAAAGTCACCTTTGTGGTTTACTGGACCTGACCTATACTATTAAATAGCCTTTTCTTTAAGCTATATAGAAATAGATTCTTTTACTAATTTATACTAAAGCTTGCTTATACTAGGCTACGAAAGGTTAGCTAATAGGGGGGTTATAACTATCCCCTAAGTTAGCAAGGAGTGTATTCTATCTAGTTAATAATATTATCCTAGACCGCGGGGGCCATAACAGCACGAACAAAAGCATGGAATCTAAGGGTGGTTTTTCGGGAAAACGCCAGGGAATTGTATAGCAGTCCAGGTTGGCACGGACGAATGGTACAGTAGTAGGCTAATCCGAGCATGAAACGCACTCCTATAGTTACTACTCTTTATTAGATAACTAAAATCCGCTGACGCTTCTTATAACCAAGGAACTTTCCAAAGGGTGCCCAATGACTCTTACTAACTTGAATCTCCACGTACATACGTCCAAGCCCGCATCGAACATAGCTCGTGGGCCTTCGGCCAGAGCGAGTAAGAATGAGGTAAGTATAAATATCCTCATCAATGCCAAAATCCGTGTCTCTGTGGTATGCCGTGTATTTAAACAACGGTAGACAATACATTGTCTTCTCTGTATCTAGTGGATCATCCAGAAAAAGTTCCATGTCGAGCCCTTTGCCATTCAGAGTTGGTTTCATTTTAGGCCTGACTCTTATCTTATATACTAGGCCTTCGATGGAGAGGCATCCAGCAGAAACTGCTCCCGTGGTATGTGACGTGGCAAGCGTCACTTGCATGTCTGTCATATTGGCTTGATGAGGCCATGTAGGATCCAAGGAGATAAAGGAATACTGTCCTCCTGGGCTCTCCTTTGGGTTAAAACTGACTGGGCTGTCAGTGGACGCCCAGGACCACGAAGGTGCTCGATACTCAACCGGTCGAGTCGCACAAGGTTCACATCGCCAAGCCAAATGCACCACGGAGTTCTCCTGGTCTCTCCATATTCCTGCCATATATCTCGCCCCAGTTAGGGCTTGGAGGTACTTCGCAACCCCTGAGAGTGCTGGCAATAGATCTGAACGCTGCAAAATAAAAGTTTGAGTAACAGTAGTTTTGCCTTGGGTTTCCGCAGCGAAACCAGGAACCAAGGGAGACGTGAACTGGACGCGGCATGCGAATGCATCAGTGTGCGTCACATAATCGCGACCAAATGTAATAATGTAGGGAGTCTCTGCTGAATCAGGCTCCGTGCAGTCCCGTAGATCGAATTCATCCTTATGATCAAGGTTTGCCGAACCGTTTCCAAGAGACATAGCTTCGAATAACGCCGTGCAAATAAAGCAGCCCTCTTTGACGGCAGTAGTGAAGCTTTCGAAAGTCGAATGGGATTGTTTGGGACGATTGTTCTCAGCCAATATTCCTTCCGAACCCGCAAAGTAACCAGACTCGAGAAGCCACCATGGGGTAGAAGTACCGCATGAGTGGATGCAGTACTTGCAGGACTGGCAGAGGTGATTCGGGGTGCGGGCGGCCACATCTACCGATCGCAATCCTCCCAGTTTGAAACGAGCTTTGGGGTCGAACCTTGGTACGATGTTGCCGTTGGAGACGATCAGATAGCTTTGCATCGTCGGGGAATGAAAGGACCACATGATGTACAGTACGCGGAGAAGATGGTTTACTAATAAAATCCGGTTAGTTGAACTCTTATCTCTGAATAGTGTAAGATCTCTTGGATTTTGAATATTGGACAGTTGCTAAGGTTATTGTATCTTAATAAAGGGCCCTAGGAACTGGTCACTATTCTGGTCACTACTCTGGGTTGGGTGGCTACTTGGGTACCTATGCATCGTGTCTTACGTAATGTGGGAAGTATAAGGGAAGAAGCTAAATTAAAAAAAAATCACTACTGCAATTCGGGTCAGGGTTAGCACCGATGTGCAGCGGTGGCCGCGAGTCTGAATGAGATTTTCCTCGCTTTGAAAAAATAGCTTTAAAAAATTCCAGAAAGATCATGTAAACCCGACGGCAGCGGTTATAATATCTCATAGTATAGCGGTAACAGAAGTAAATTAAAGTAGATGTTACACAAATGTGTTCTAGTTCATAACACCCGAAGGGTAATTAACCCTTGCTGAAGACAAAGTAAAATTGTACCTGGCCCTCTAAACTTCCGCCAACATAGCTATCCCCCTTAACCGTCTAGGAACTGTTGAAGGACCTGGGCGTACTGCTTGGGAAACTGGAACAAGTGTCCGTGGCCAGAGTCAGGGTAGACGTGCAGAGTGCCGTTGGACAACTGCTGTTGCAGGATAAAGCTGTTAATGGTGGGCGCCATGATGTCGTTCTTGCCGTTGGTGACCAGAACAGGGACCTTAATATCCTTAAGCTTGCCAAAGTTGCTAGGATCGGCGGTGAAGTCTGAGATCGCCTTGAGCTGTGCCGATACGCCAGGCTCCAAGACAGATCCACTGAGCTCCTCTCCCTTGACGCGGCGATCGGTCCTTCGCTTGAACCAGGCCCGTCCCGCGGCAAGGCTGGTTTCGGTGGTTTCGAAAAACAGTGTCAACATGGCCTTTTCCGTTGGCTCACCCTCCTCAGACGCAATTGTGAAAACCTCGGGTGGTCCAGCGGTGACGTCAGGGCCGATTCCAGGCTGTGTGCCCGAGAAAACCGCCTTTTCCACGAGGTCGGGATACGTCCAGGAGAGGTATTGAGCCACGCCGCCTCCGAGGGAGAACCCGAACGCGACAACCTTGTCGAGGTCCAAAGCATTGACGAGGGCCACGGCGTTGTCACCCATCTGCTCCACGGAGGTTGAAACTTCGCCTTCGCTGTGGCCGACGCCGATATTATCGAACAGGATCACCTCTCGATACTGGGCGATGTAGTTGAACAGCAGAGGATCGGTGACATCCATAGCGGCCCGCAGATGGTTGAAGTATAGGACAGGGTTGCCACCACGCTTGCCAAATCGTCTATAGGCGAGTTTGGTACCGTTCAGGCTGACGAACTCAGTCCGGGCATTCTGTGCCAACGGGGCCGGAGGGTCAACGAGTGAAGTCAAGGAAGTCAAGTGCTTGTCATATTGCGCGCTGGGGTAACTTGTCAGCAAATTGAAGCCGATGTTGCACAGGTGCAAGTCCTACTTTAGCTTGGCCATGGTGGAAGCTGCAAGAGCTGATAGAACAGCGGCGTGAATTCTCATGTTGGTTAGTGTTGCAAAGAGTAAGATGTACAATGTTGTAGTCGATTGTTGTTGAGATTGATGAAGCATACCATACCACACGTCCAAGGCATTTTTAAGTAGGCGTGTTCGGCCGAAATCAGCCGCTGCCTGGCGGGTCTCTGATGCTATACAGCACGACTGACATGATTTGATGAGTAGTTACGGGACAATCGGCCCCACGATGCCCACCGCCGTTGTCTTCTACAGAGTAAAACACTTGTCCAGTAGTAATCCTTTGATTAGAGGGTTATTCCTTAACGTGACAGAGTGCCTCTCAAGTCGGTACATCCGGAGCCGGGGTCGGGTTCTTCTAGAATGCCCGACTGGCTAACTATTCTTAGGAAAGCTATTTAGAGTTTTAGACAAGCATACTTAAGATGGGTTACGTGCACGTTCTGACAGGGGTTAGATGGCCTCACCTCGGCTCCGAACGTATGAGATTGACAGACTGATTAGTGATCCTATTAACTTCTCGCCGAGATTAAGTCATGCCGATCCGCGGGCACTTCCACTATTAAGCATGTTATTATAGCAGTGAGTGTTTGCTAATCGCCGCGTTGCGGAGTTGCGGAGCCCTTTCATCGATCATTAATCCGAAATCCATCATCCAAGATGATTAATCGAACCGACCCTGCCACGAGACATAGCCTCGTCCATCCATTACCTAAATCCTCCGCCTGATCTTGCAGGCCGAGGACATGGACTAAGACGAGAGTTGTAGCTTAGAGTTCTGATTCCTGTCAGATAGTTTGCCTGCTTTCACAGTTGCAATAGCGATAACCTAACTCGGCAGGGGGTGGATGGTGAGCTTGTGGAATATGTCAAACACGCTCTTCCTAGTCTGTCGTCTAATTCTTGGTTTCTTCGTGCGAGTCTTCCGAGGTGATTGGTTGATTGAGGGATCAAGAAATTGACTTTCTCTGCTACTCGGTTTTACCACAAGCGTAGTGCCAAGGAACACCAGACCGTCGATGGATCATTGGTCTTTCCAAAGATATCGACCCCCATCCGTATGTTCGGATTTATTGTGTGTCAAAGTCAGGTCTCTTCCTGAAATCATATTTAACTTTTCCAACCCGTGAATAACCCCATTAATAGTCCACACAGATCAAGCTTTTTCCGATAACCTTATATCTGCCACCGATACCACGAATAATCCATCTAGAGGCCTCCGCCACCCATCCCGGTCCGAATCGTCATCCTTTCAAGCCCATAGCTTCTCTACTAAGTCTAGTAGTTCCTCTAGCTAGCCCTCTAATTATTAGAGCTAATTTAAGAAGACTCTATCTTTAAAAGAGGTATCGCTTATAGCTAGTCTTTTAGCTAGGTTCTTAAGTACTATTTATTATATATTAATATAATTAACCTTAGTTTTTTATAGATCTATATACTTAATAAGATAATTATAGAACTAAATAAGGGCGACTTAAAGTATATCTATAAGATCGCTAATTTAAATAAGTTTAGAGATAAGAAGCTTAATAAATCTAAGTTCCCTCTAGAATTATTATTTATCTTTGCGACTTAGTATTATAACTTATATCACGGCCATGACATAGTCAAAGGCGGTAATGCCAGGCAGGAAACTAACCCTATTATATTAGCTAATTATAGGGGAGGAAGATATATAAGTCAAATAAAGTTAGTTTAATTTCTCTTAACTATATAAGTTAAACGCCAATAACTTAACTTAACTTAATTATATTTAACTTAAAGACTAGATAATATATAGAATATATATATTATACTTCCTTATATAATAATTACTTTAGCTATTAATATAACTTAGTTATATTTAATACCTCGAGTATATTACTAGACATAATATTATATTACCTTTTAAGGTTATATAATATTCTCCTCTATTAATATAAACCTATATAATTAGTTTATCCCTTAAGAAATATCCTCTTATTATATATTATTAGCTTTTATTTAGAGGATTATTTATATTACCTTAAATAATATTAAATATAATAGTTACTTAGGCTATTCTTAGTAATAACTATTAATAAGTTTTACTTATTAATTATTTATTTACCCTTATTATATTAATTTAGGCTAACCTTAATAGTAATAAAAAAATAAATAATAATAATAAAGAAATTAAGTAATTTTATACCTAGGTTATTATTATAATTATTAAAATAAAAGAACTTAGAAGACTTATTAATTATATAGCTATTACTTAATAAGCTTAAAATTAATAATATTATAAGAATATCTAGAATATTAATAATATAGTAATTATTATTATAAAGGGTAAAGATATTAGAGAAATCCTAAAGCTAAAATAACTAAAGAAATTTAATAATATTATATATAAATTATTAATATTCCTTATATAATTATATATATTTATATTTTATTATTTTACTTAGTTTATTATAATATCTAATAAGGTCTAATATATTACTAGGCGTCTTATTAAGTATATTATAGCCTAGTTTAAATTTATTATAAAGGAATATCTTATTAAATTACTTAATAAATACTTACCTTAGATTATAAACCTCTATTCTAGCTTTAAAGCCTTTAAGGCTATATTATAATAAGCTTTTAGAATAATAAATAAAAAGGCCTAGGTAAAAAGGGAAATTAAGGTATTTTAATAAATTTATTTTATATTAGAATATAATATTAAATACCTCTAGCTTACCTTAAAGCTTAATTAAGACTAAGAACTCTTAATATCCTTTTTCTTTAATAGACTTAAGAAAAAAGTATAGGCTAAACTCTATAAAGAAGACTAACTTAATAACCTTATTAATTATATCGGCTAAATAATTAAGATTAATAATTAATAATTCTCTTAGAAGAAGCTCTAAAACCCCTATAATAATAAAGAAAACTATTAAAAACCTTAGTTTAATACTAACTAAGGGCAATATTAATAAAATAATATATCTTATAAAACCTATATAAGACTTATAAAACTTAGAGTAATTTAATAAAAGAAATATAATTATTATAGACTTAAATATTAATATTACTATAAGATAAATTATATTAAGAAGATCTATTATAAAAAGTAGCGCAATATTAAAGAAGGTTATTATTAATTATAATAATAATAATTCCCTAAAGGTAAAAAATAAATAAGATTTATATAAGCTAATAACAAATTATAGATAGCTCTTTAGATAACTAAGATACTTAGTATAGCCCGGACTAGGTATAATAATATTAGTCTAGAACTAGGAAAAATTATTATACCTTATAGCTAAGTATACCTTACTAAGGAATAATTTAGGTATAATAATTACCCCTAGTTAAAGCTATAATATATAATAATAAAACCCCTAAAGGTAAGATAATTTTACCTGATTAATAGATTAAAATAGTAATTATTATTAAAACTAATTAATAAGTATATTAAAGACTTAATTAATAGAATTATCGCGGTTATATAATAAAAGGAGACTATTAGGAAAGAAACTAATTAATTATTACTGCTAATCCCCTAGGAATAAGTAGACTTTAATAAAGCTACTATAAGAGGATTTAGCTATAAGGATTAGGTTATTAGTTATATATATAGTATTAATATACCTTCTATTATTTATAGAAGGGATTATTAATAAGATAATCCTATGAAATATAATAAGATACTTTGCCTATAATATTAGGTCGAAGTATCTCGAGAATATAACGCGGCATATAAATAAAAGGAACCCCTAAAGCGCCTTAATTAGCACTATAAAGACCCTAACTATACTATAGGAGTATAGGCATAATAAAAACTAGATGCTATATACGCCTAGCGATTATAATATAACCCCGAAGAAACTAAATAGGAAGAAGATTATAAAATTATTATTAAAGAAGAAATAGGCTTATATTACTAGAAAGAGGAAAAAGATAAATATATCTAGTTAATAAGGGAAAAATAAGATATTAATAATATAGATAATATCTATATATAAGCTTATTATATATAAATCGCTATAAATCCCTAATAACCTAAAGCTTAATATAACCTAAGGGATAATATATAAATAATATATATATACCCTAGATATAAAGAAATCTTATAGGTCTTATATCGAGATTATTATTATATTATATACCTAAGGGAAAAAAAGGAGAATAATTATTTTCTAATATAACTTAGAGACCTTAATATATAACCCTACTTAGCCTATAAAATATTTTAATATACCTTAGAATATTAGTATAAAGGAATTAGCGTCATATAACTATGATTTAAACCCACGAAGGAGGGATCTATTAATATAGAATAATAGCTAATTATTATTATATAGAGAATTATAATAGAGTAAGAAGATACCCTAAGTAGAGAATATAATAATATAGAAATAACCTTATATAATAATAAGATATATCCCTAATATAAGTAATAAGTCTTAGCTACTTATAATAAGATTAAATAGATAACTAAGGAGGGATTTAATTTCTTAATATATAAAGGAAATAATAATAATAAATAGTAATATAAAGATATGCGATTATACTTATAAAAGAATTAAGGATTAATTAATTAGTTATTATAAGATTATATTAATTATATTCGACGCGGTAACCTCGATAAGGTTTACCTTAAATCGCTAAAAGAACCCTATTAAGGAGGCAAAAGCGTAGATAATATAGCTATAGAAGCTAGCTATTAGAAATAATAAAATAGCTTATAAGATAATTATAACTATAAAGCCTATATAGATAGTAAGTATAAGTATAATTATTTTAGCTATATTATAATAATATTAAAAAACTAAATACCTTATCTAATATAGGGTAATAGATAGATAAATATAAGGATAAATTACCCTAAAAGGCCCTTT